TTGCCTTCTCTGCCATAAACCCATGTTTTTTTTCTGTTAATAATTTACCTCCTTCCCTTCTTTGATGTACTATACTGTGATTTGAGAGGCTTCATCAAATATTACAATAAACTGTTCTCACTCTGTACATAAACTTTATGTACTCTGTGTGCCTGAAAAGTTTCTTCACAGTCAGCGAAAGGGTATCTGTAAGCTGCCCTAGCTCATCTGTGAGGCACACTCCTATGGCTGTGGGGCTGGCTGGTTCTCTGATCGCTGCTGGGATCGCCAGGTACTTTCTTTTTTGATGGAGTGTCAAGACTTTCTCACTCAACCTGGAGTTACGGTTGGCAGAGAGTAAACATGGTTTGTTCCTGGGACTTCCTCCTGGAATATTAGGTTACGGCACTTACACTTCTCAAGGTAGCACACTTTGTGAAACCCAAACCTTTCTAGTTTCAGTCCTAAAACAAAGCAATGAATGCTCTAGATCTTCATCTAACCTTCACTGGGGCTACTCTTCCCTGGAGCCGTAGAAGGCCCTGGTTGCTTTCATGCCCTCCTGCAAAATCTGTTTGCTCTCTCCTAGGACAGTGTGACCACAGATCTATTGTGAAGACCCCATGCCCTCCTGCAAAATCTGTTTGCTCTCCCCTAGGACAGTGTGACCACAGCTCTATTGTGAAGACCTGTGATAAATACACCTTCTGAGCTGCCTTTCGGTGGGGCCAGAGCCTGGAAGAAGTCTCCTCTTTCCGTTTCTTGTTTTCCTTCACTCCCTTTGTTGAAAATTTGAAAATTTGGAGCAGAGAGCAGGAGCATCGTCATGCCCATGTGGTGCATGACCACAACAAAAATCTGGATTTGTGTTGTGGAGCTGCTTGTGTTACTTCCCTACTCTTGGTTTTAGTGGTCTCTTGTTAAGGCAGACCAGCGTTCCTGCACAGCTGTAGGTGGGATGTTAACTCACCGGCACACAGCGTAGTCTCATTTTCTTGCACACCAATTCTGCGCCTGCCCCAGTGTGTTTGGAAAAGGTCTGTGGCATATTGTGTATTGAAAATGTTGGAGGTTGGTGAGTTGGGAGAGCAGGGGAAGGAGGTGAAGGGAAATGGCAGCTCTATTTAAGTGCTGTGTGACTGTGTAAACCCGGTCAGGTTCGTCAGTTGAGGCTGGGAGCGCTGTGGAGAGCTGCCTGGCACCTCACTTTTCCTGTGGATAGAAGTGGACCTTCTCAGTCTTTGTTTTGTGAAGATACAGTCTGCTTAGTGGCTAGTTTCTTTCAATCCCCTCCTTCTCTACTCTAAAAGAAATAGTTATTTATGTGTGGGAGATTTCTTGTTTTTCTTTGGTAAAGAATGCTTGCAAATCTGCAGTAAAATAATTAGGCCAGGTCGTTTGTTTAGAGCCTTTGTTTTTTACTGTGCCAAGAGAAAACAGATTACTAGCAGTTTTTAGTGAGGTGCGGCTGAAACAGTAACAGTTCTTTGCCTTGCCAGTTCTGCTTATAGTACACATGGTAGTCCTAAAGCCATAGCTCCAAACGGCAGGTCATAAGCTAAACTCAGGTACAAGCTTCAAAAAATCAGTGTGATTTGCTGGGGAAGGTACCTCATTCAGCAAAAGCTTTTATGTTCTTGGTGAGGTTAGTGCAGTATGGGATAATTTTACCAGTTGGATTTTATATATTGGTAGTAAATCTGTCAGCTTTTTGAACTCAATTTAGTGAGCTAGAAAAAGCCATGAGTTCTAGTAAGCAATTAATTTAAATTAATTCTACAGTTCTGTTTTTAAATGGGGAAGGTAACACTTAAAGGTTTTGGAAAGATTGAGGAGACTTTTCAGAAGTATTATCTTTTTAATTAAAGAAAAAGGTATGGAGGCAAGATAAATGTAATCATTCTGAGTAGTGGTTGTTTCTGTATCTCTTCTAAGTAGGTTATGTTTACTGTTCCTTATTAGTTTTGAAGCTCCAGGTGACTGGATCCTGCTGTCTTTCATAATAGTCTTCCTTGGTTTGTTTTGCAGAAGATGATTAAATCAGACAGGGGTGTACATTGAGCAAACAGTGACAATATAATTTTCTTACATGTTCTAAACCAGGTCAAGGGATGAAATATAAAAGTACCTATAATGGAAACTTTTTTTTTTCCCCAAAAAGCTATGCAACAAGTATAGCAAATAATAAACCAGTGCTGAAAAATATTTCATACTTATGTGGGCATTACTTTTTAATGAAAACATTAATTTCTTTTCTAGAGAAACATTTGTGTTCAGAGACTGACTCCATTTCCACTACTTGAGACATAGTTTAAGCGTGGTCTTCAGCATTTCAAGTGTCCTTATGTCCAACTGTTTCAGGTTTGATGGGAGGGTAAAGTGCTATTTCAGAGGTATCCCATTAAATTAAAAGCACTGAGTTATCCCTTGCATGGTCAACATTTTTGTTTTTTTTTTAAATACCTTTTTTTATAAGCTGGCACAGACATTTCCGTCTCTGTCCTTTGAAAGTGACTTGTCAGATACAGGCCAGACTTAAAAACAACATAACAATAACAAACTGTTTGATAAAAGACAAAGTTTTGAATTTTAAACTCTTAAAAGTAAACCAAATATGAGAAATTAATTTCTTGTCCATTTAGACTTCCAAGTGGCTTGGTGAATGTTTTTGACTGTATTTTAAGAAAAGATAATTTGATTTCTTTTTGGTTTTTTTCCTTTCCTCCAGAAATTCCTAGCAATATTGTAGTTTTCAATTGGTGTTTGCTTGGTGTTAGTGGTGTTAGTGGTTTATTTGGTCTAATTAATCCATTAGTCTTAATTAGCAGGAATTCTTCGTCATGGAGTCTCTTGACTGTGCTTTGCTTTGCCTGGGGAGCCATGTGAGGCCCTGACCCAGGCTCCCTGTAGGTAAAGGTAGACCTGAAGACGGGGCTTGGAAGTGCCTGGGGGCTCTTCAGTGCAGGTGGGCGTTCAGTCTGCGGAGCTGGTCTGACATTAACTCCCCCAAGAGACCCGGAGCGGGCAGTGCTCCTCAGCACCGCCCTGCCTTCGGAGCTCTCCCAGTGGCCTCCCGGCTGCTCCTGCGCCCATTTCCCCTCCAGCCGGGAGCAGGTGAGCCGAGCTGGCTTCCTCTGAGCAACAGCAGCAAGCTGCCTGAGATGTGGTATCCCAGTCTGAGGGCCCAGAGTAGGGAAGAGGAGCAACCTAAGATGCACCAGAGCGTTCGAATTTAGGCTTCATTTCTCTTATTTCTCAGCAGCCTTTACCTGTTATAATCTGCTTAGCCTGCTGACTCCAGCTAGCTGTTTTTGAAAGACCTGCATGGAGGCAGGAGCAGGCAGTGTGGAAATTTCCCAGCACATTGTTTCCCCAGTTTGGCTGGTGCTTTCACAAGTTTTCCTTCACTCTTCCAAAGTTCTCTTTGCATTTTTGATTCTTCAGGGGATTAATGCTGCTGTAGTTGACGATGGCAATTATTCCCACACCTTTTCTCAGGATTTGCGACTTAGTGCCATGTAGGCATTGTACACAGAGTAAGAAGCTAAAGGAGTACCAAACTACAGAAATAATCAAAGCAAGCAGAGAGGAGGAGTTAAACTAAGCTGCCACTGCATTGGCTGGGTATGAGTAGAGTGTGGTTGCTAATAATATTTGTGCATCCTAACAGGGTCTAAAAACCCAGCATACACTAAATGTGTGAAGAAGACAAATGGGGTGTTTTTACTTAGCGTATAAACATGCATTGCACTTTTACAGTTGACTTTCTTTTCCTGTTAGGGCATTTTGTCTTTGCAAGCTGAAGATGTACTTAGATCAGTATTGTTTGAGACCTGGAAGTTAGACTTGTTTTTATTGGTTCAGTTGGACTTGATTTTTAGTGGGCTGAAAGAACAGCAATAAAGGGACTAGGCATTTGTTGTGCTATAGCCTCCTTAGCGCAGTTCAGCTGAACTGGTGTTAAAATTCCCAGAAAACTTGGGAAACACTGCATGCATGTAAGCAGCTATCAGGGACTGTCTGCTGTCAAACTAAGTCAAGACTGCCTTTGGAGAAGCTTGTTATTGCGCACTAAGATGTTTTCGATGCTACTAGCCAAGTGGGCCAACAGATTGTAAGTAATTTTTGTAGAACAAATCTGATTACTGCAATTATTACAGAGTTAGCGCTCATGCAAAACTAAGTCTATAAAAAAAATCCTGACCACCTAAGGCTGAGAAATAAAGAGGAAAAACAGGATTAAGATGAATTAGTGCAGGTCAGTTCCCTTGTTTCACTGATGTGGAAAGCAGGTACATGTGATGTATAAAAACAAATTGTCTTTTGGCATGGCTTCCAAAGGAAGTGGGGCATGCTGCTGTGCCGGGCCCATCTGCTGGGCGCTCATTCCTCTCTGCTCACATCTCCCAACTCCCTTCCCTTCCACACACAACTTTCTAACCTGCTGGCTAGTCTTCTACCTGTGGTAATTTAGACTTCTCAAAGATGAACGCCCGTTTTTCCTGAGATTGAAACGCCATTGAAGTTAGGGTTACCAGTAAGAGAGGGAGCTGCAGCGTGAGTTCGGTAGCTGGCTACCCATCCTGTTTCGTTTCCTCTCTGCTTGGTCAGTACTTCTGCGGTTACAAAAGCACAGTGTGTTTTTCCACTTCTCAGTTATTTGATGGATGTGGGGTTATCTTGAGGGCAGGAGGGTGTTTGGCTATAGGATGGAGGGCACAAATCCTTAGGGAACCAAGCTGTAAAAATTCTGCTGGTCTTAGAAAAAAATTTTGAAAATTAGCCTAGAAACATCCTGATAGTGGAGAACCTTACAGTGAGGCAGAGCACCAGGTTGTCATCTGGCACAGTAACAAATTATTCAGAAATCGGTACAGTCTGTTTTGAAAAATTCTATGTTTCAAATAAAATAAATGAGCTGCTTGTGTTCTGTTGTGTAAGATCTGTAAAAATAAAACTACTTTAAAGGGCTAAATAAACTACCTTCACATCTCTTGCATGCTTCTGTGTTTTGTTTGCAGGTGCTAGAAACATTTGCTGGACGCCTGATTAAAATAGGAGTTTTAGCAAGGCGGGATATTCCCAGCCTTACAAAGTACCAGATAATTCTAGCAAGAGATCAATATAGAAAAAACCCGTCTTCACAAAATGTGGTAAATTTTATTTATTTCATGTTATTAAAGTAGTGAATAAATAGTAATATCCCATAGTGTACAAAGTTTCCTGATACATTTTAAGTTAGATTTCCTTTGTAATATTCTATTTTTAGCCCTGGAATAAAATATGCCCACTTGCTCCACATTTCTTAATGCTAATATAAAGAAGTTAAGGAAAAGATGAAGAACTCCGTTTCCGAAGTGAAATTGTTTTGAGAACTTGTATTGTAATTACTGACTGCCAAATTTACACTTTCCTCTCAAAACTACATTACTGCCCCTATTTTTCTGTAAATTGTCACGGAGTGTTCAGATTTTGCAAACTTAAATAAGAATATTACCTAAAAAAAAAACCAAACCCACGACTGTGTACCTTAAAAAGAACGTTGGGAAATACACTTCACAGTAGGCAAGACAACTTTCCTGACTTAAATTTTGTAGTCTGGGTAGATGTGCCGGAAATTTTACCAAATACTGATGGATGGTTTAGCTGTCAGATTTTGAGTGGTGCTGCATCGGAAAGTATTGAGCTAATCTTGGAAGATAATAGAGGTATTTTGGAGATCATTTTGAAGGTGGAAAAAGATTGCCTTCGTTGATCATTAAGAATTGTGTAACCTGTTTCCTGAAGGTTTTGATAGACAGGCTACTTGCTGTGCATTAATTTGTGCTTTGGCTCTATTTCTCAGATGTCAATCTTATGAGTGGTGCTGCATCGGAAAGTATTGAGCTAATCTTGGAAGATAATAGAGGTATTTTGGAGATCATTTTGAAGGTGGAAAAAGATTGCCTTCGTTGATCATTAAGAATTGTGTAACCTGTTTCCTGAAGGTTTTGATAGACAGGCTACTTGCTGTGCATTAATTTGTGCTTTGGCTCTATTTCTCAGATGTCAATCTTATTTCTGTCATAAGAATTTCTGCTGCTTATTGACTTCCTAATTTAGTGATGCGTCTATTTTGTTTTCACAGGGAATACATCAAGGCATAATTGAAGGCGATTTTGCACTTTGTATCAGTTTATATCATGGTTATGAGCTGCTGCTGCAAATGGGAGTACGGTCATTATTTATCTATCTTTGTGGAATTATGGATGGGTCAAAAGGTGAAATGTCTTCAGAAACATCCTTCCTTTTGTCTCCACGTCTTCTCATTTAATTTACCTCATCTGTATGGCTAGTTTTGCACAAAACGGCTTATGTAGTGGATGGGTTGCAAATGTAATTGGTTATTTTATTCCCCTTCATCCCTGTTGGAAATATGTTAGCACAATGTTAAAGATACAGTATATTTGGGAAAGCAAATGTGTTCATATGGCAGCAGTTCTGAAAAAAATAAGGCACAAACAGAACTCGGAGTAAGTGGCAGTAATAATATCTCTGGAGAGACAGAGAATAACCATTAAACAATTTAAACAGAGAAATCATTTGGTCTTGTAAAACAATTCCTCCTCCTACAGCAAAACTCATGTATGCATATGTATGCCAGAAGATTACAGATTTGGACACATCACACTAGAATTTCTGTCCTAGCTTGGCAACATCTTCCATGCTCACTAAGCAAAATAGAAAGCTGTTTTCTGTTCTGGCCTCAGTTTGTTTTCCTAATTCTATCGTGACTATTGTGAGTCTTTTGCAACTCTCCACAGTCATTTTTAGACCCATTGGGTTGTCATTGGTATCTGGAAGACCTGGTTTGGTACTGACATCTTTTTTGAGGGGGAAAATTTCCACTTGGCAATGTCAGTCCATCTGCAAGTGTCTTCCAAACACTGGATGTGGGAGGGGAAGTTTCCAGCTGTTCAGATTACCCCATGGTGTCCCTCTCAGGTTTCTTGCTTCATTTCAGTTTACACTTAGCTGTGTAACTGTGTGGTAACTTAGAGAAGCTACTTTGCCTATAGCACTGCTTAATTAAAATGACACTGCTTTGTCCTACGCCTGAACCAAAAGCATACAGTGCTTGCTTCATATTATACAATATCTATAGAATATATTTTTCTAGTATGCACGTGCTAGTAATTCCTCATTAATTTTAAGCTTTTGACATTTTTACAATTTATTACTTTCACACGTGCAGATTTTTACATTTCTGATGGTATAATGCTGTTGTTAGACCTAGGCACTGGAGAGCATTTCATGTACTTCCTAGTTTCTCAGGTTCCTTAAATCCCTGTCTGCTATTGAATAGAATAGAATATTTCAATAGAATAGAATATTTCAGTTGGAAGGGTCCTACAACAATCATCTAGTCCAACTGCCTGAAAGATGACTGATGGAAAATAGTTCTAATAAATAGGTCTTCTATACTGGTTCTGGTAAGTTTGATTTCTGGTTTGAGTAGAACAAAATTCTTTTCAACATTGATATAGAATCATTCAAGAAACTTGTTAATTCTAGCTTTTCGTCTAGGATCCCTTCTCTTTGAGTAACTGGCAGCACTTCATAGAATCATAGAATCACAGAGTGGTTTGGGTTGGAAGGGACCTTTCAAGGTCATCTAGTCCAACCCCTTTGCCATGGGCAGGGACATCTTCCACTAGACCAGGTTGCTCAGAGCCCCGTCCAACCTGACCATGAACACTTCAATGATGGGGCGTCCACGACTTTCTGGGCATCCTGTTCCAGTGTCTCACCATCCTCAACATTTCTGGATTGGATGGCTTTTCTAGTGCTAAATGGTTGACATAAAACTTTTTAGTTTACCCACAAGACCAGGCTTCTGTTTATACATACGTCTTTCACATTTAGATTAATGTTTTCATGTTTAAATTCTATAATGACGTCTTCCTTTCTGAAAAAATATTGATGCCAAACAATGTTTATTACATTTTCTAAAGCTAACGTGTATCTTTCAGCTCTTGAAAGGAGCTTGCTACTTTTGAGAAAGCTTGTCTTTTGAATAACAAAAATTATAGTCACTCTGGAGATTAAATACTAAGATATTTCAACGTTTTACAAAGGGTTAACGCGTACGAAGAATGAACTTGGTCGTAATGAGGACTTCATGAAGCTGTATCAGCAGCTTAGAGACATGTTTTCAGACGCATCTTTGGCTTCAGCGAATGGAAATGTTTACAGGAGTAAAACAGGTCAGTATTTCCCTCTTAGGGACAGAATATTTAGTTTCTGTTTAAATGAAACAGTAGCTACCTCTACATAGTTTGTAGATGCAGGAAGCTATTAATTGTGATACACTTGGCTAGTATTCTTTATTCCAGATTGTATTCCCCAGACTCTTTATCTATCTATCTATCTATCCATCTACTCTTGGTGGTTTTAGCTACCTTCAAACAAGTTTTCTATGTTTGAGGTTTTTAATTTGATTTAAAACGAAAGGTTAAAATATTGCTGTTTGACTATACATCTTTTACAGTGTGACTGTAACAAAAATAACAACACTTTCTCAAAAACTGGGTTTAACAATTCTGCTTCCATAAGTAGTTCACTGATTTGTTTGTTAGGCGAATGCAATTAGAACTAGGGTCAGGAATTTGTATGTCTGACTCAGAGAATTATAATGGGAGGAAATGAAGTTCACTAAACCTTCATACTAAACCTTACTTACATCTTTTATTGCTTTATTTCCTTTTCAGTGTTTGAAAATAAAAAGGAATTTATCTACAGCCATCCAAAATTAAGGAAATTGGAGGAAATTGTAATAGAACACTTCAAATCCTGGAAAAAGGGATGTTCTGGTAAGCACCAACAACTCAAAGAAAATGTATCTGAACAGTTGAACCTGTGGATGAAAACAATATCTTACTGATTTATTTCCTAATTTGTTCAAGTGTTCCTTTATTGTCTTGTATGTTTGTATATCTTATGTGTGGAAAAGTCCTCCTTAGAAGAACTATATCAAAAAATTTCTTTAAGAAAAAACATTCTATAAGCTATCATTATTAATTTGATATGAACTATTCTACCAGCTTAGTAAAACAGTGATAGTAAACATTCCCAGTGCTACTATGTCTCATGACACAGAATTTGTTCTGGAAACCATCTGTCAGTGCAGTGCTACCATTACCTTCTGCAAAGTTCGATGCAATGTAGTTATGGAGCTTAAGGATGAAAGTTCTGATATCCAGCCTGTTGCTAAGAACGACAAACTCTGAGGCATGGATTTGAAGTTTGAAACCTTCAATTACATCCACCTTTCTCTCATTCTTTTTCATCTCGACCGAAAGGGAGAAAAAAAAATGTCATATAGTAGCATGAGATTATGAAGCAAAATATCATGAATCATTCAGACATCTCTGGTTTTAGGAAGTTTCAGCTTCTTGATTGAGTTGTTGCTTTTGGAATGATGACATCAGTAACAACAACTTCTTTTGCAGCTTCTTCACCTTTTTCCTTGTCTGTTTGGATCTTTGTGCTCTGTGAAGTTCTGATAATTTCTGACCTGTGTTTTTTTTTTTCCTATCTTAGATGCTTGATTCTCAGAATACACTTTAAATGACTGCTACTTTCTAGTAGCAGCCTAGGCAACTTTAAGTTTCCTCATTTCTGTTTTTCTTAGTTTATAATATGTCCAAATGCACTTAATGAAATTACTTTCTTCTTTTTTTTTTTCTTTTTTTTTCCCCTCTGTATCCATACTTCTCTCTGACCTCCCTGCCTCCCTCCATGCCTCTGTCTTGTTTCCTGTGACAACATCTTTCTAAGCTATTGCCTTTTGTTTTCAAATTCTGTACTGGAGTTATTTTAACTAAGTTTCATATTTAATACTCTTCCATCTTCTTTTGATAGCATGGATTTTGCTGTCATATGAATCCCATCAGATATGTTTTTCCTTGTTGGTCAGACATGTCTCTTAGTATTACTAACAGGTAATTAACATACAAATGTTTTGGTGTTGTGTTTTGTGTCTGTGTGCATGAACCTCAGAAGTCAGTAGGCATGAACCGTAAGTTTTTACTGTTATAAATACGAAATTACAGTAACTGTGCAGGAAGAAGTACATAATCCTTTATAGCATAATTGTCAAGCTGTGGTAGCATATCTAGTCATATCTTGAGCTAGGTATGTTAGGTTTTCTTGCTGTCCTTCCTTGCTCCTGATCCCTGTAACCTCCTTTATCCTCGTAACTAACATGCAAGGCAAGGCCATGGGGAATACAAAGCAGTGTCCTGAACACAGTTCTTTAGGTGCATGTAGTTAAATTTAAAACAAGTGCAAACAACTGATCCTGAAATCTTTCTGTGTAACGCTAGGCAAGAAAGCACTTCCCAATTCGCAGTCTGATCACAAAGTTGGAGCCATGCTAGTAACTTTGGGAATGTAGTGAGCTCCAGCTTGTGTCTCCTAAGCTTATGCAACTCCAACCCAAATGCACCGGACAATTGACAGAAATAGTGAGACACTGTGATTTTATTTATTTGCCTTATTATTCACTGTGTCATAGCATCTCTGAGGATACCTTTTGAGCAATAATCCAAAACCTGTATTTCTACCCTTACTCCCTGTTTCTTGCAAATAAACTCTAAATTCACATGTATGCAAGTAGCCACACCCTAAATTCTGGTTTTGGACTCTGAATAGAGTACACAGCCATGTCCTGATTTCTCCCTCCTCCAGACAAGAATTTGTCATGAGTCTGTCAATAAAATCTTGAGTACTTACTAAGATTCCAAACATAATCACATGTATCTTTGCTCCATCAGAAGGCTCTGAAACAAAAGCCTAAATCATTATGGGAGCAGTGGAAAATACATTCAGCATTTGTTTCAGGAGCTCATGCAAGTGTGTAGTATCTCTAGGGAAAAAAAAACCAGAAGCAAACAAAGCCCCTGAACTTAACTCTGCTTTGTTCCAATTGTGCATTACTGAACTACTCTGAATCATAATTTACTGTGTTCATGTTTAACTTTTAAAACCAGTAACTACTTCTGCAAAGCATTTTCCTTGAAAAGCCCTACATTTGAGACAGAAAAAGAGAGTATTAATAACCTAAGTCATTAGCCATATCAGGAACAACACCAGCTCTCTTTCCTCCATTTGAAATGAAACCTCTCATATGAGAACTTACGGGAGTAGTGTCAAGTTGCCTATGCAAACTCTGAACAATTTCTAACTAGTGATCAACCAGGTTGAGTTTGAGCTTCCTGACCACAGAGCTGTTGCCCCTGCTTTGCAAGATGAACTTACCAGCAATTCAAGTAATTGCATGATAATATTCTGGCCAGCCCTTAAGAAATGTTGGCTCAGCATAATGAGCTTCTCCCAGCTAATCTTCCATACCTGGATTACTTGTCAGATTAATTATGGGCTGCTAATGTCTTGAATTTTCTAAGTCTGGTTTTGGAGAAGGTCAAGGAGGTAATGGCAGCAGTATAACATTTTTTACAATACAGAGACAGATGCTACTAAGCATTATCGCTATTCAAGTTATGAGAATACACTAAAAATACACAACAAATAATGTTGTTCAGAATAAAGTTAGTGGAGGAGAATAATACGAATTCATGTAAGTTAGATATATCCAACCTGCACTTATTCTGAAATATATAGCTTGTCAGTCTGCTCAGGATGGCAAATTATGCAGAACACATTATATCAGTGTTGCAATTGTCCGGTTTCTAGCTAAAAATACTGAATTATGTTCACCATTTCATTTCTAGGCCTTCATTGGGGACTGGTTTCTGTACTTGACAGATGATCTCCCATATCACCTGCAATTTACTGAAACAGTGCAGTAGAATGTCATAGAATAATTTAGAATAGTTGGAAGGGACCTCTGGAGATCCTCTTGTCTGACCTCCTTGGCTGTCAGCCTCAAGAGTGAAATTTGTTTTGACCAGAGGCAGCTGTATTCAAAATCTACCTGTGAATTCAAGACTCATCTTAAAAAAAATGGGGAAAATGGTTAGCTTCAGCTTCTCTTTTTTGACTTAAGCTGCTGAAAGCATTTCTGCATGTAGATACGCACAACTGAAAACTAAACTGGAATTTCTGATAGTTGATCAGAAAGATACATACACTTATCTGTTACACTTAATGCTTTAACTTCAAGAAATAGCTTGATACTGGAATTACAGGTGTAGCGTGAAACTGTTGTGAAGCACCAAGTGACTGTTCTTCGTGTGTTCAGGGAAACATGTTTTTACACATCCAGTCTTGAGAATCTTAATTCCTTGTCTAACCTTTCTCTTAATGAGAAAGGTGTTTTGTGGAAAACTGCATAAAAGAGGAGAACTTTATCCCTGGAAATCTGGTTTCATCTGAGGGCTATGTCTAGGTAATGCATGCAATCTGTGCCAATTTCAGTAATTCATGATATTCTTTTAGAGATTCTCTTTTTTTAACATACTAAGTTTTTACTTCATGGCACGCAGTAACGGGCATGTTGTTTTAGTATTTGGATAGGATAAAGAGAAGCTGACTGTTCAAGACTTGCATGTTGCTTAGATAGCTTTTGTTTGTGCTCATGAAGGCGGATACTCTTATATGTTTAAAAAAAGAAGAAGGAAAAAAAGTACCAGAAGTACCGAGTACCAGAAAAAGTGCCCAGAAAACAAAATCTGTGATGGTATACCATAAGAGAGGTGGTTTTGGTCAAAGGCAGTTTGCTAAGAAACCATGTATCAATGTAATTATTTTTCCTGTTTCGTTGAAAAGGGAAAAGTTATATTTGCTACTGAAATGAGAGATATAACGAGTTGTGATGACAGATCATTCAGAAGCAACAGATTATGGTATTAAGGGATGTTTTTGCACATTTCTGCTGTCATGAGGATCCTAAGCTGTGGAACTAGACAACGTTCTGTAGTAAATCATAGAAAGCTGATACACATCTATTCTACTCCACTATGCTGTATCCTAGACTAATGGTAACAGTAGGGGTTTTTTTTTGCTGTATATTGCTAACCTCATCTAATTCTGGGCATTTAAGTAGAAGATTTAAAAGTCGCGTTGTAGGCTCTTTGGAAGAAGGCATCTTAAACTTTATTTCAAGACACTTGCCATCAAACCTGAGCTTTTCAAAGTAACATTAGTCATGGTACCTCAGATATAAGACATTCTCACCATAGTTGGTGTAAATTCTCCAAAATTAGAATACTGCTTTGATTCCAAAGAGGAATTGTTAGAGCAGGTATCTCAGAGCATTTTCTGGGAGATTGGTCTAAATAGGCTGAGAGGCTCCTAATTGTCAGTTTTCTCTACTGTTTTTTTTTATTTATTTACTTAGATTTTTTTTTTTTTTAAATGAAATTGGTTTTTTCAAACAAACTTTCTTTAAAATCAAAATGCAGTAGTCTTGGACAGAATCTTCCCATTAAATGAGATGAGAGCTGTGAATATGTAGCTTATGGGATAACCTGTCCTTACTTTTTTTATTGTAATTATTTTTAAATCATGCATAAAAATGCTTTTCTGGCTTTTTAAAATTAAACAGATCAAGTCACGGCTGAAAGCACATCTGTGGACGCTGTGGATACTAGAGTGATGATCTTCTCATCGTTTCGAGATAGCGTGCAAGAAATTGCAGAAATGCTTTCCCGGCTCAGTCCAGTTGTTAGAGTAATGACGTTTGTCGGCCACTCCACAGGAAAGAGCACAAAAGGCTTCACACAAAAGGAACAACTTGAGGTAAAGATGAGACTTGTATTAGGTAATAGTGATAAAGATATTAATTGTGTAAAGAACTACATGAGTACTGATACAGATTGAATGGCAGTGACTGAATTTTAAAGTGTCATTAGTAATTCCTGTGTAATTCAGTTGCCTTCAGAGTATCCAAAATTATACTCACTGAACAGAATGTATAAGTAGAAGTATTTTATGCATTTACATTATATTAACAAATGCTAACTTTTATATATTTTAAAATCTGGGGAAATATTCAAATACTTGCTTAGGGGATTTCTTTTACTTGTAGGTAGAAAAAATAAGATATATTCTTAAATTTTGATGTAGCAAAGTTAAAAAAAAAAATGTTTAATTGCAAAGTTAGGAAGACAAATTTTAGAAGAATGCCATGGTTGGAGTCAGAATAAGGTGTGCTTTTCTTCCTTTATTTTAGAATTGAAGAGTTGATATGTTGATGTTGATAATTGGTGCATGGTATTTGATCACGATGAATTAGCTGACAAATTCAGAACAACTGAGTTTTGTAGCTTTAAAATATAAATTAATGTTTTCAACTTCTGTCTGAACCTAGAAAAACTGCAAAGAGTGTATAAGGGGCCTTCTGGCTAACCTGTTAAATCTAATTTTAATCATTTATTCAGGTGGTAAAACGCTTTCGTGAAGGTGGGTATAACACTCTGGTCTCTACCTGTGTTGGGGAAGAAGGCTTAGACATTGGAGAAGTTGATCTCATCGTCTGCTTTGACGCTCAGAAAAGTCCAGTTCGCCTTGTGCAGAGGATGGGCCGAACAGGGCGCAGGCGGCAAGGCAGGATCGTTGTCATCCTCGCTGAAGGGCGGGAGGAACGGGTGAGTGTATAGCTTGCTTCTTGCTGGGAAAACAAAGTGACTTGTTTAATCTGTTCCAGGAAACTCTATACTGTGTTAAAAATCACAGCAATCCTGAGCACTCCTAGCAATGTTTTAACTGTCCCTACAGCAAAGTATAATAGCCCACAATATTCTAAAAATATGTGCACTTTCTCAATGTGAAGGGCTTCAAGCCTTTGTTCTTAATAACACTTATTTTGTAAATGATAAATGGAAACACAGAAACAGATGTGGAAGAGATGAATCTCTGAGAGCAGGAGGACTGGCAGCGTCTCGCTCTGAACTGCTGATGACACTGTGCTTTCAGACAAGTACTTAGTGGTGGCAGACTTGCATGTGAGGTCTGAAGAGATCAGCTTAAGTGGAAATCTACTTTTGCTAAATTCCTGAACCTCAGCACTCAACTCAGAGTATAATTAATAGTCTCTGAGTGCAGGCTGCCCCTTGGGAAACTAATGTACCAGTGGAAATCTAAGCTGTGAGTTGTGAGCCAGGAGAACTGATCCTCAGCTGTACCAGCACACTGCCCAGCTTCATCCCGCAGCCGCGCGATTGCTAGGTCTGATCCAAGGAAGCTGGTGGGGCAGGGTTTAGGTAGGAGGAGGCAAGGCAGTCCCTGTTGACATCAGTCGTTGGTGAGATGGGTTGCAGGGTAATCCGAACCTGCATCTTTACGGTTTCATCGTGCAACTTCTGTTGGAATGCAAGCCATTTTTAGGGTGCACCTCAGTGTTCTGGCTGAAAATTGATTTTGTTCTTCGCTGGTTTTGTTTACTTGTGAGGTTGGTTCTGAGTGGGATCAGGTTTTATGACAGAGAAGTCCAAGATCTGTGTAAGCTAATTGTAAACCGAGAATTTCAGACTCTTGCTATTATCTCATTTATTCCATATGTTGTGCCCCTGGTTTAAATCTGTAGGTAGCAGGGATTTAATTCTAAATGCGGGTCCAAAAAATCCTGCCTGAGGAAAAAAAGCTGCTTTGAAGGGATGAGAGTTAAAAATTATAAAAGTGAATGGTATTTGTAAATAGATATTTTCTCATGCTGCTTATGAAGACTGATTACTACTGAAAGCTCTGCTCTGTAATGGGATATTAAAATGGTCCCTTAAATTCTTTGGAGTTTCTCTTAAGCAATTGGATTAAGGGGTTCTTCAGATTTTCTCAGAAATCTTTGAAGCAGAACCTTCCCTCAGGTAGGATAGTAATTTTATATAATTTTTTTTGTTTTGAGATCATGAAGTAAATTTAATTGCTGAACAATCTTGGCTTGTTTCTTTGTTTTTGTTTGGCTGGTTGATTGTTGGTTTGGGGGTTGGTTTTTTGTTTGTGAGTTTGTGTTTTGTTTTTTTGTTTGTTTGTTTGTTTGTTTGTTTGTTTTGATTGAGTCTCCTTCCAGATCTGTTAATGTGGAGATTCTTCCCCATCACATAACTTGCAGCTAAGTAATTAATGGTTTCATATTAATTCATGGGAATTTGTTTTTCTTTTTTAAAAAATCAAACCACTTCAAGTCAATTATAAAGCTTTTGAAGACATTTTACTGAGAAAAATTGGAAAATGCAGGTCTGGAAGTTTGACATGTGACAGGAATTTCTGTTACAGAAGTGTTTATTCCTCTGGTCCGGTCCTCACCTCCCCACGTGTTTCCCCGCCCGGTTCAGCTGTCCCACGTGGAAGCGCACTGCGTCTCAGCCGTGCAGCGCACGTCACGCGGTTGCACCCTGCTAATGCGCTGGCTTCCCTGAGCATTTGGCTTACAAGTCTTCTACCTTTCTAGTTCGGCCCTATTCCAAGATGTGCTGTGTTTTGATTTGGGATTTTTAACGTCTTGTGACAGCTCAGCTGCGTGTGCATCAGCCTGGAAGGGGGCTGTTAGCTGCAGGTTTAAACCAATAGAAAGAGAAGGGCACAGGGGAGCTCACAGCCTCTCAGGCTCCAGTCAGGCCAAGCTGACACTCTCTGTGAAACAAAGGAAAAGGAAACATACTGTCTCAGTAACAGCAAAGTAACAATTCTGTTGAGCAATGAATTTGGTAATACAATTTATTTTCCCATAAAAAGACTTTTTTGCCTGTTCTAGGATTAAAAGATATTTATTGGAATGCCTGAGGGACGGTAAAATAAAGCTAGCCATTAACCTCTTCCAGTTTTATTCAGAGCACATCTTTTTGTGTCTGTCTCCTCTAATCCTGGCTTCCAAAGATCATCTCTCTCAAAAGAACCTAGCTGCCATACTACCGTATTCAGAGTACTTAGTCTGCCTAAGTGGGCATGCTGTCTCCATCGGTGACCTGTAACAGGGACTCGGAGAAGAATATTAGGACAAGAAATGTTCAGAGGGGGAACCAGTTTCTTTCCTTAGTTTCTCCATCTTTGTCTTGGTTTCTGTGTTGCACAATAAAAATGGAGTGTAATTAAAAGAACTTGGAGCATGTATGACATTAAGAAATATTCTTATGCCTTTTCTTTGCTTCACCTACTTTCTTTGATGTAAATTAGATTACATCAGAAACATCCCTGTATCTGTTGCAGATTGTAAATTCCCCCAGGTAAGGGCTGTGTTACTTTTTCTCTCAAGTGCTGTGCCTGCTTCTGATCTATTTACAGATTGTAAAAAGCTGTACATTGTTTTATATTTTGTATTGTTTGCAACATGAAGAACAATCACTGTTCTTTGGTAGTTCTTTGCTTTTTGTTACATTTGCTTTGAATGTGATACCTAGGCACAAAACGATGATAATTCAAATTTAATTTGACTTAGATATTTTAGTATGGAAGCGCTTTAAAAAAGAAAAAAAACCCTGAACTTAGTAGCTATGTTTTGATGTATTCAGTATCAGATTCTCAATACAACCTTATTGCTTTGTTGTTTTCATCTATGTCCTTCTGTTCCTTTGCTGTCTCTGCTTTGGTTACCATAATGTGGAGGCATGCTGGAAGTCTTGAACTTGCACAAGCAGTTATGTTGACCTAACAGATGATACTCACAGAAGAGGGAATACGGTTGGCTCTCAGGGCCTTGCATCATATTTTGTTTTAGTTGTGTTTGGGGAAGAAAAGAAAAAAGAGAAAAACCAAAAAGCATCTTGATGATGGAACACAAAATAATGAGAAACCCCACAGACACTCAGGTGTTCTTTTACTTTTGATCAAGTTATGTGAAAAAACAGTCCAACAACATATGATTCATTCTCTCTTTTACAGACTTACAATCAAAGCCAGTCTAACAAAAGGAGCATCCACAAAGCTATTTCAGGAAACAAAATGCTTCATTTTTACCAGCATAGCCCACGTATGATTCCACAAGGCATAACTCCAAAGCTGCATAAAATGTTTATTACTGCTGAAAAATATGAACCAAGCAATTCAAGAATGCTTTCCAAAGAGAGAAGATCTAGTTCCCTCCAGCATAAATCTGCTCTCTTTTCCTATGTCACCGGTAAGAGGATTATGGTGTTTTTCTAAGCACTGCGTAAGCTGCTATCTCATGTTGTTATATTACAGCATATCAAAACTGTGTGCTCACATGAATTTTGGGTCTAGCAAAAGTGTAATTTCTGTCAGCTGTAGCCTTTCGACTGTGATACTGTGCTGACTGCTGCTTTGATTCCTCATCCTTTTCCTTTAACATCCTCAAATCACAGTTCTGTCCTTAAATATCCGTACTTCAAATCAGACATTTGTTTCATCTTTCTCCATAGAGCTTCTCATGGAGTCAATGACTGAAGGTCAGAAACTCCAGCTACAAACAGAAGAGGCAAATGTTAATGATGTCTTCCAAAGACTTCTGATATACCTATGTCAGGTGGCATAATTGTCACTTAAATGTTTACTGATAATTCTAGTGATAATTCAAATCTGGTTTTGAGCTTTAACAGTTAGGCTTAGTATTTTTATTAATACAAGAAAAGTATGCCTTATACCTTTGTAAATGACAATAAAACAGAAATGCTTGAAAACTAAAGGGTTTTGAGGAGAGGAAAAGGAGAAATCAAGGGTGGGATATTTATGAATTGCACACACCCTTGGAGGAAAATTAATCTAAAAAGAGAAATGGCTCTTTAGCTGATGCAGTTACATGGCACTGAAATGCTCAGTAAACTGAACAAAATTATAAGATAGGAAGAAAGAGCTAAGTTTTGTAAATACTTGGAAATTGTCATGCTTGATCTCTTTGGTTAAGTGCTTTCTGTAAAGACTAATAACAACTTCTTGAAAGAAGAAACTAAAAGCCCTGGGAAACTTTGTATTTCAGTATCTGGGTAGTTAGACCTTAGAGTTAGTGCGTTTTAAATGCTTCTGATCACAGAAATACTTATTATCAAAATCTACATCTGAACTCTTTCCAAACACTATCCAGGGCAAACAAAAGGCTGAACATAGAAAGGGGAAGCAAGCTACAAAATCATGCAGAAGAAAATCAGTTTCCCCTTTGGCCTCCAAAACAGTTCATGCTTTCTCCCATTTTGCGGGGTAGAAATGTAACGGAGAAGAATTAGTATTGATAAATCAATCTGTGCATCTACCCTCAGCCCAAACTCTTTGTAAGTATGCATGTGCTGCAGAAACAGCAGTGGCACAGTTGTGATGATGCTCTGGATCATTACCTTTCCCGTTATGCCTCTGGAGCCCTCTGTAAGGCATGCTTATCTGGGTTTTGTGCACAACCCAGATGGTGGCCAGTGAAGAAAACCAAGGATGAAATAAACAGACACAACTTGGCAATAAAATAAGCAGAGCAAAACATGGAATTAAAATAATCGTTTTAGAATGCTTGTTAGTCTGTCCTAGAAAATGGAAATGAGAGGCAGTAAGTGCATAAAGAAGATAATATGCAT